GGGGTGGGGGGGGTTAGTTAGCAAATTGAATGGATGGAAGAAAGCAGAGGGTTGTTACAAATGAAATTCAGTCAAACTGGATTAATGTTACAAGTGGGTTACCTCGGGGCTCAGCCTTAGGACTTTTGCTTAGTCTCTAAAGCCATCAGAGCAGTGTGCTGTTGCTAGTGGCAAGGTAAATAGTATTTTAGATTGTTTCTACAGAAATGTTGTCTACAAGTCTAAAGAGGTTATAATTTCATTGTATGGGTCACTGGTTAGGCCAAATTCGGAGTACTGTGTTCACTCTTTGGCTTCTTACCTTAGGAATAACATTGAATTATTGGAAAAAGTTCAGAGGATGGTTACTAGAATGGTGCCTGGAATGGAGGGGTTGTTATACGAGGAGAGGTTGAAATCTCTCAAATTGTTTTCTTTGGAAAAAAATAGAGTTAGAGGGGATCTATTTCAGGTGTTTAAGATTGTAAATGAAATTGATAGTGTTGATGCGTCATCTTTTTTCATACTTAACAGTGAGAATAGTAGAACTAGGGGACACAAATATATATTTTTGCAGGGTAGGAGTCATTTTAGCTAAGACAGCTTTATTTTTCTAACAGAGTGGTTGGCCTTCGGATGTTGTGGAGGCAGTAAATTTAAATGAGAGTAATAGAAAGCTTGATAAGAATATGAATGATAAGGGCTGACTTTGATATTTCTTTAAACATATTTATTAACAGTTTCAGTTTAGTTTAGAGGATGGAACAGATGAGATGGACCAATAAGTCCCATGTTGTCCCAAAACATTATATTGTGTTATATTGTAAGCAACGTTTTAAATAGTTGTCCCTTCAGGAACATAAATATTTAACCGATCGAATGAATTTGTCCTAGATATAGTTGACTGTGAGAGAAAATTGGCTCAACTAAGCTCAGAATCAACGGAAAGACATCCGTTTTCCCAAATTATACTATTGTAAGATGTTAAACTAAGCCTCTAAAAACCAATGAACGTAAATAAAAATTCATTATAATAAAGTCGCTTAAGCTTTCCGTGTTTTAAAGCACTTTGTCAATATTTCGGATTCTTAGAAGCATTGTATTATGCCACAAATAAGTCTTGAGTTCTATCAATCTGGGGAAGTTTATAGTAAATGCTTGTTAGAGTTAGTTTTAAACATCTTTTTTTGTTTCTAAAAGAGACGATTACAAATGTTCTTACTAGATGTTAGAATGTTATATGTCAGGTAAATCTTCAATCAGATCATCTAATATCTGTGCATATGCAAATGGTTGCATTAATCATGGCACACAGTGGTTGTGATGGTGCAGAATATGTGCTATTATCAGTCAAAACATAATATAACACCCAGATATTCTCTTATTGCTCTTATTTCTGTTTGTTTGGTACTACTATTACTATCAGTCGATTAAATAAAATTGATCTTTTTATTTTTCGAATATAAATATTGGTACTTTAAAAAATAAAAAAGTTACTTTGTTCATTATTTGAAACAAAAACAAATAAATTTGTAAATTTTGTAGTTATACTTGTAATGATAACATAATATTTGTGAATTTTCTCGGAATTCAAGTATTTTAAAGTCTAGATTAATACCAGAACAATTTAGTCTATCCAGAATTGTTATCCATTGAACTTTCTTTTTGTTTTCATAAATAATACAGCTATGGTTTTAGTATCCCTCTATTTAATTTAATAAAAATTCGACTGCAAATGTAGTAATATGTAATTGTTTAAGATAAAACTATTTACCACTTTTATAATTAGCAACTATAAAAAACTACCATATACATATATTTATGTTAAAATATAAATATTGATTGATGTCACAAATGGCACGTATGTGATTTGAAATAGCAAAGTTCAGTAATTACCTTCGGCTCTGCACGTATATAGTTCTGAAGGTACAATAGATTGATCCACCAATACTTTCGACAACCAGTGACCTTTTGGTCTATTATCTCATGCCATACAGGTCCTGAGCCAAAAAGAGGAGTCAGATACACAAGACCAATCAACAGTACCATTGGAGGCGTCAATCTTTGTTGGATGAAAAAAAAATCGTTAGTTCTTACATGCAATTGGTATTATAGGTTTTGTCATAATATGTTTCGGCGCATCATCACATTTCAGTTATATTTCTCAAAAAACATTAGTATTAGGCCTATAATATTTTTAACACTACATTCGTTATCTAATCTCTTAAGAAATTCAATAATTAAAAGAATATACAATATTTATTGTGTTTTGAAAACTGTATTCTTTATCTAATCTAATCTTTATCTATTACAACAACGCTATTTTCGCTGTATCCATTGCCGACGACGCGTTTCGCTCAATCCAGAGGTCATCCAAAGCCGACCGAGACACAATAAATACAGTAATAGTCGGAACACTATTTATATAAGCCATTTATTACAACAGCAACTGCTAGGCTTTTAACGCCTTTTTCAAGTTGGCGAAGCATGTTTATGATCGATTGTACTTATCATAAAAAATAAAAAATTAGACCTATTATATTCTTATACTGCATTCTTCATCTAGGGACTTTCGAAAATACTATATTATAAAAATATATAATAGACCTAACACTAATGTCTTATGACAAGTATAATCAATTATAACATGTTTCGCCAGCTTGGAAAAGGCGTTCACACCATAACACCATTGTATTTATTTATTCTATGTTTGCGAAACTTCCGGCTTTTGAAGAAAGAAAACTTATTATAAGCACCCCACTAGTGGATATATCAGTAAAATTACTCCTGAGAAAACACACAAGCTGAAGTAGTCTAGCTTAGTACTAGTAGCAATAGGAATAAACTATACTTGGAAAAAATGCATGTTAAGTTCGCCTAATTGACATCTGATATAAATACATATAAAATTACTTTGAGATGACACATGATTTGGTCGTCTAATAATCATCAGCATCGGGAAATTTTGTAAACTCCTGGATTATTTGATATTTGATACAAATATATCTATAATCAATTTTGAGAAACTCGTGTTTAGGACAGCTAATAATCTTTTTCATGATTTTCTGTTTGTATTGATTTTTCGAAACGTTGTATGCAACTGTTGCATTCGAACAGTGTTAGGCTGATAATACACACCCAAAGAAGGGGATTCATTGAAAATGCTGTGTAATAATGTTCATGTATGTTACTTTCAATTCAACACAGCGCTTTATTTTGACTTTGACAAAAAATATAATGAAATAGCCTATATTTATTAGACTTACACAAGCCTAACTAACGTTACGTTGGTTTTCGTCTTGTAAAACATAATGTTTTAGGTCTCAGTCTGTAAGTAAAGTAACTGTGATACAATATAATGAAATAGCCTATATTTATTAGACTTACACAAGCCTAACTAACGTTACGTTGGTTTTCGTCTTGTAAAACATAATGTTTTAGGTCTCATTTTGTAAGTAAAGTAACTGTGATACAATAGTTGTGTCTGAAATAGAAACAAATATTTGATTACAAGTATTAGATGCAAAATTTGCGTTAAACTAAGTAATTGTTACATCCGCATACTAAATAATTTTTGGATTTAATCTTTCTCTATAAGTATAATCTGTCATGCTAATTTTCATTTGTTTTTGGTACTTCTAAGTAATGGAGGGTATAATGGCAGTCTTTTAACATCTGTATAAAGTAAGACGTATTTCTTTACTCTTTATTATGGAGCTTGAGTAAATTTTTTTTCAATATTAAAAACTATCTAAATCAAACACATAGCCTTATTATCAAATTATTTCGATTCAATTGCCCAAATATATTTTGTACTCTCTGCATTTGTCATGACGTTTAATTTAAATAGTATACAGAAAATTCACAGAAAAAAGTGACAAAAACTACTGTTAGTGACTTTATTTTTTTAGATTGGTATAAAGTATAGCAGAGGTTTATATGTTACCTCATATATCGATGAAAAATATAGAGAGGAATGTTCAGTTTATTTCCAGAATTCTTCATCAACTTCGTCATCAAGTAAGAAGTGAGTAGCCCACTAGGAGAAAGCAACTAGAAATTTTTAACCAAGATATATAAAACACGTTATTTTACTCGCTGATGTTAGAAGCCTAAAAAAAGAACAATGAAATAAATGCAATACTTCTATGTAGTTGTTATATTTGCCATTTCTTAAATCTTTCTACATACAAACTAAATAAAAGGGTGTATATTTCATATTCGAAAGATATATTTTTGTATACGTGGTCATACATTATCTCTCAATATCTAGAAAATAAAAAGATTAAAATCTTTAATACAGAACGTTTTTCAAAGTTTGTTCAGAATAGATTCAGACAGCCACGAAAAATAATGTAATTAAAGACGACAGCACGAGCAAATATGACCACATACACACACACTCACCCATTAAAACTGGGTTGAGGCAAAGGTGTTTATGAAATAAAGAGAGAAAAAGGTGTAATAAGACGATAAAAATTAAACTTTTATTTTGGATAAAATATGATTTCAAAATCATCATTAATAAGATTTGTCAAGTATAAGCAAGATAAATTGTTAACTAAATACAAAGTAAAATGTAAAAGATTTCTGTTTAATAAAATACGTTTTCAATAATATTTAAGATTTCAGATTTAAGTTAATTTTAGAACATATCAACTTAATAAATAATGTACATAACTGTAAATATGAACATAGAATAATAATGTCCCTTCGTTTATCTATTTGGGTAGTTAATATACATGTTAATATATAATATATATTAATATTTAGTAGTTGTATAACAATATATAATATATATTAACGTCTAATAGTTATAGATTAATATATAATAATTAAAATGTTGTTGTTTTTTCAGGATAGGGGCCATTTGCAGTTTTTGTTGTCCCATTATTGATTGTTAGGCTTTAGAAACGAAAAAAATACAAGCTTACAGAATAAATTAATTATCTAAGTATTGTCTGAACTTGAAAATTAGTTTGAACTTTTATTGAAACGGAATGGGAATTCATTTGAAATGTGTACAATTATTACTCAACTAAACTAGTATTCTTACGTAAGTATGATATGGGCATGTAGTGATACTTATTAGGGATGATGTTGTTGTTTTTTTTCATAAGACAGATGCTTAAAGATATGTAGAAAGCTTCTAACAAACAATGAACAACAGAAAGATATCAAAGCAAGATACTTGCCCCCCAGTAGCACAGCAGTATGTCTGCGGACTTATAACGCTAGAAACCTGGTTTGGATATCCGTGGTGGGCAGAGCACAGATAGCCCATTGTGTAGCTTTGTGCTTAATTACAAAACAAACAAACAAACAAACAAGCAAGCAAGATACTTAAAATCCGATTATTTCTTTCCAGTTGAAGTTGGTTTAGTAGAATCACAGTATAGCATATTTTACAACAATGTTTTTTCTTTAACGTAAATTACTTTAATATTGAACTTACTTTAACATCCTAATATACTGAATCTATATTCTGACTTCTAACACATTTTAAATTAATTAATGTTTTAACCCAAAGTTACACAATGGGCTATCTGAGTCCTGTTCCTCCGCGGAGAATCAAGTTCCGGTTACCGAGGAACTTAAATTAATTGATTTTTACAATGACTATTTCACAGCTTTAGTTGTTTGACAAACAAGTTGTCCCTCTTAAGATACTTTATTATCAGAAAAAAAATCGCTCTCTTTCAAAGTTATGAAAATTCTAAACTTGGCTACAGGAAATAATTATTTTTCTTTATTAATCCAATAAAACATTTTCAAGCATCAGCCTTGTTGTATCTCTTTAATACTTATTGATATTTGCTATTGAACTTACCTAATGCAGAAAAAAACATCCACAGAGACGGAAGCATTCATTAGAACTTGACCTCCCCGAGACCTCGCAACATTGTCTAACATGTATGAGTAACCTGTTCGTTAGAATATAAGCCAACTTAACACGTGTTGATTAAAACATTTTTTTTAAATTGCAAATTACATAATATATTTTTAATCTATGAACAGAAGAAAGAATTAGAGCTTTCAAGATTCCAGCAAAACATAGTTCAATATACAAACAGTGAAGTAAAATATTAATTAAGGAAATTTTTCTTTACTATTTGAAATGTTTGGGCCACTTCACTTATTCAACTAACTGTTTACTCATTCAGGAATTACACCTTTTAGTTTACAGCAATATATTTGTTTGTTTGTTGTTAAGCATAAAGCTATACGATGGGCTGTATGTGTTGTGCTCACTGCGACACATGTAAATGCAAAAAAGTATTTGTATTCAGTAAGAAACACAGTAAAATCAAGCAAATTTATTGCACATGTTCTGTGTTGGTTTGTATTGAACAAGTTTCGACATACCAGATTCACATTTCTATAGCTCCACTTCTCTGAATATATTTATTTTAATGTGTTTAAACACTTTCCAGTTAATATGATATGCTCATTCTCTATTCAGAAGACATATGGTTAATTACATGATTAATGTAATAATGTAATGTAATAATAATAATGATGGTTGATTACAGAAATATTTCTGGGTCTTGTTCTTGGAACTACTTCTTATATCGTCGACCTTGTTTAGACTGTTAGCCTTAATTAGGTACTTTTGCCTAACACCGCAATTTCAATTCAAATAAACTGCGAAGGACGACAAAGTTAATCTTGTACCACATATCTTGACAACCTTTCCACAGACTGTTCACTGTATCTAAACATCGGGTCTCAAGACCACTTTTAAGCAAATCAAAGGCACGAACGTCCATTAGAAGGCCTTGACAAGTATGAGATTACTGTGATTCCAGTTTCTGCGGCCATATTTCTCATGAGAACAGTCCCTGATTTCGATTTTGGATTTGAATTATTGCTTATCATTTTGTTAAAAGCTTCATCCCAAGTTGTTATTTTTTAGATAAGAAGGCTTATTTCTATAAATGGATGAGGGCATTGTTCTAAACTAGTTTAAGAGTGTGTTTTCGTTGACGGTTATTGTTCTAAGCGCATTAGTGGGCCAGTTTTTCCACTTGCTTCCATGTAAATTGTTGTTCTTTGGCTCGTCATCGTCTAACAATTTCACTATACTAATATTCTTCTTCGAAAAGAGATTATACCTCTCAATTCGTTGCAGTATTGCATGTAAACCATGAACCATGCTATACATGTCGTTCTTGATGCCACACCTCGCATCATCGGCGACATGTTACTACACTAGTATAAACAAATCATTCTTATACAGTACGTTTAACCTTCTGTATAGACGGTACTTTATATTTGTTTGGTTTCGGATATTCTTGCGTAGCTATCAAGAACTATTAGATGTAGACGTCCTTAATTCTAGAGTGATGAGCTAGAGGAAAGGCGGCTAGTCTACAGCTCCCACCGCTATCTCTTGAGCTACTTTTGTCTGACCGAATAGTGGGATGTAACCGTTACTTTTATATTGCACCCACCTCCTAAAGTGTAGAAAGCAATTTTTTCATGATTATTAATATTATTATTATTATTGCGTTAACGGTTTGTTTGTTATGGA